ATTTGACTTGGCCAAATTCATCCACTTTTAGTATAAATAGGGAGGTACCCATATCCCATTTTGAACACGATTCAGAATACTAATTAGCAATCGAAGAAAGTTCTTGAAATGGCATTCATCCAAGCAATCCTCTTCACTCTTGCTTTGCTATTGTCCTCTTGTAAGTATACATAATACATAATCACCTTACCTTAATACTCATTTTTGTTGTGTTTTTCAAAATAGATACCCTTGTGTCTGATGATGGTGTTGTTAAACAGCCCATGCAGCTACCATTGTTGTTAAAAACAATTGTGGACATACCATATGGCCAGCTACATTAACCAGCGGTAGTGGACAACCCCAACTCGCCATGACTGGATTTCAATTAGCTTCAACAGAGTCCCAGACTCTCAATGTCCCTACACCATGGACTGGCAGAATTTGGGCTCGAACCCGCTGCTTCACAGATGACTCTTCAAGGTTTTCATGTGAAACGGGAGACTGTGCCTCTGGCTCTAGAGACTGCAATGGCGCTGGAGGAATTCCACCAGCTACGTTAGCTGAATTCACATTGGCACCAAACGGAGGCTTAGATTTCTATGATATCAGCCTTGTGGATGGCTTCAACTTACCCATGTCCATAACTACAAATGGTGGAACAGGACAGTGTGTGTCCCCCAAATGCTCTGCAGATGTCAATGGAGTTTGCCCATTACATTTGCAAGTCAGGACGGCTGATGGGATCGTGATTGGGTGTAAGAGCTCATGCCTCGCATCTAACCTCCCAAAGGATTGTTGCACTGCCGAATTTAACGACCCAAAAGTATGTCAACCAAGCGACTCTGCCAAGATCTTCGAGTCCCAATGCCCCCAGGCTTATAGCTATGCTTATGACGATGAAAACAGCACTTTCACATGCAGCGCTGAACCCAACTATGAAGTTACCTTCTGCCCATAATCATCCACAAACCATGTATTTCAATCAAATAAATCACTAATAAATAATGTTCAAATGAATAAAATCCATCTTATTTACTTCACGGATCTTTTCTTCCCTACCCGAACCGCTATGATTTTACTTTTCGTTTTCACGCTCTGCCCAAGTGCAATGGCAGAGGCAATGTTAGCAATGGGTCCATCCAAAGGTCCTCCGGGAAGACAAGAGCTATAGTTATCACATCCCGGAGTTAAATATGCATACACATAGAGTAAACATACTTAAAATCGTTTAGAGACGGATCAATGCCTATGTACATAGATGATTAGTTATCACAAGTTTCCAAAACCGAATCTAAAACCATTCACAACCATAAAGATTTTGATCACCTAACCTGCAAGCACTAAGGCTTCCACGTGATCCTCGTACTCGAATTACAACACCGGGTTAGGAAGGTACAAACCTTCTAACTTTTTCTTTTATTTTTCAAGTTCATGGATTTATTTAAGGGTCTTAAGAAGGAAATTTCCTCGAACTACAAAAAGAGAAAAGTTCATAAAATAATCTCAATGGCTTAAGAAAAATATAAAATATAACTGTAACCAGTCATAATGATACATTCTATGAATTTGTGTAGCAAAATTGTTGTCCCGCTGCCGCAAGAGTGCGATTGTGACACTGAGCATCTGGACTTGAGTACCCGCATGTGGGACTGCACGTAGCACTCCTTTTAGTCACGCATGAAGGTACGTTGTGAGTGGTTTTTCTTTCCATTCGACCTCTGTTTGACTGTTTTTCGATTTGGTTTCGATGTTAATCCTAATATGATTTGAATTAGGACCTGTTTGAAGAATTTGTTAGAATTTGGGGCATTGAATGAGCGGGAATGGAATCAACTTAGGCGGTCACGAACAAGTAAACATCTACAAGAATTTATTTCAAGCCGTACTTATAGGACTGAATTATATGACTAAAGAATGCATGATTAAAGAGTTTGAATGAGCTGAATGATGAGTATGGTAGATGTGTTACAAATAACTGAAGTACTCCGAGAACTTAAAAACTTTACATTGTATAAAAATTTCATCATGCTAAGAACTCATATATGAGTTAAGGACCATTATTCATTGATTTATGTACGAGTATGTATAGGTGAACTGAGTGAAGAAAAAGTCATTAGAGCTCGTACGATTTCACGATTACCAAGGTCAAGACATTTCCAATAGACTTACATTCATGGATCATGAGAATCGATAATGGAGTTGAACCACAGTGCTCCCATAACCATAACCAGTTTAGCCCCACAAGCTAGTCTAGAAAGTCTTGGAAGCTCGAGTCCAAGATATAAACTGTCAAGATGCTCTAAGAACCTAGTTAACTACCACAACGCTCAAAGTACCACAAGTTACACGACATTTATGGATCATGTAAATTTACTCAACCTAGTTCGTAGGCATTTCAACAGTAAGTCTACATTCCATGTTGGCCTATGCTGATATCACTAATTTTACTTAGCTAGTAGTAGCCTAATCCTACTCATCATGGTCTGATTCTACTTATGGACCCTCGTACATTTAACTTGAAATATATTTTTTTAAAAAAAAACTAACTTAATAGATTAAATTGGTAAAAAAAAAAAAAAAAAAAACCTTAATCACCTTAAATTGCTTCCATTACTTTAAAAGCATCTCTAAAACGGTTCAAAATTTTAGAACGTAATCAAGAGTCTCAAAAGAGAGTCATCCAAGTCGTTAAAGTCGACTGGGAGACATGTAAGTCATTACAATCCAACCCTACCCTACTTTTAAAAATATTACGAAGATTAACAATATTTTAACACCAATGTTAGTGATCAGTTGTGACTTGTAAATATTTGATATTTAAATTTTATAAAATTTAGTTATGAATGTAACATATACAGTAGATAAATATGATTTTTAAAATAATTTTAAAAAAATCAAATCGACAATCAAATCTAACCCAACCAAAAATTGATTGTTGGATTGAGTTACGAATCTTATTTCGATCCCAGAACACTTTTAACCCATTCTTTAATACAATAAAAAAAATATTCAAATTCAAATTCAAATTCAAATTCAAATTTACATTGATAAGCAATTTTTAATTCTATATTTAATGCCTACAACTACAAGTTACGAATGTCAACTCAACAATAGTTGACCAAAATTGTAAATTATTTATTTTTAATTTTAATATATATATATATTTCCAATCCTAGCTGGAAAGGGAGGGAAAGGATACTCAATTTAAAGGGAGTAAACAGAATTCCATACTCAATCTCATAGATACATATAGAATTCTGTGGAAAGCCGTATTCGATGAAAGTCGTATGTACGGCTTGGAGGGAGATCTTTCATATCTTTCGAGATCCACCCTACAATATGGGGTCAAAAAGCCAAAATAAATGATTTTAGCCCTTATAAAAAGAAAATTGATTCTTGAACTCCTTTCACGCTCATGTCACGTCGAGGTACTGCAGAAGAAAAAATTGCAAAATCCGATTCAATTTATCGTAATCGATTAGTTAACATGTTGGTTAACCGTTCATCTTCGGCGCAAGAGCGCTCAATCAGTGAGCTATTATGCACTCTTTCAAGGGTGGCTGCTTCTAGGCAAACCTCCTGGCTGTCTCTGCACCCCTACCTCCTTTATCACTGAGCGGTCATTTAGGAGCCTTAGCTGGTGATTCGGGCTGTTTCCCTCTCGACGATGAAGCTTATCCCCCATCGTCTCACTGGCCGACCTTGACCCCTGTTATTTTGAGATCATATTTTGTTAAGATGAAACTATATGTGCTTATATTTATTTTATTTTATTAAAATAAAGAATAATCTAACAACCAAAAGTTTATTTCAAATAAAAATAATAATTATTATTATTATTTATTATTATTATTATTATTACATAAAGGCAATGATGATGCTAAATTGGTAATGAAGATGTTCCGCTTTTACCTTTCCTATAATGGAAGAGCATCTTCTTCGACACGTCACCTTTTTTTATTTATTTATTTATTTCAATGTATTATATTATATTTACACGTCATCTCCCAAAAACTTTTATTTAAATATCATTTTGTTTATTAATTTTTAAAATCTATTTTATAATATTTGAATTTATACCCCCAATTTTAAAAATAAAAATAAAAATAAAAACAACTCATTTAGGCTAAATTACTATATTGTCCCCTTTGAGGGCTTCCTCAAAAGGAAGAAGATGTATTCCTTATTTCCTAAATCATTTCGTAAATTAGTCGATGTGGGACTTTCATCATCCGACACACACCTCCCCTCGAGGATATTGACACGACTAAGTTTAGGGCATTACTCTGATACCATGTTAGGAATCAACGACTCTCCACAATGGTATAATATTGTCCACCGTGAGCATAACATCTCGTGGCTTTACTTTGAGCTTCACCAAAATGCCTCATACCAGTGGAGATGTATTCCTTTACTTATAAACCCAGGATCATTCCCTATATATATAATGAAAAATCATTAATATTTTATTTTAAAAATGTTAAAAATGTTTTTTAAGAGTTTTCGAGACTTTTATTAAAATTTTTAATTTTTTTAAAAAAATTTCAAAAATACTTTTAATTTTTTTTTATAAAAAAAAAAGCTTCAAAACACATTTAAATTTAAAAAAAATTCAAAAAATATCATTATTATTAATATCACATTTTAAAAATATTTATAAACTTTTAAAAGGTAACGTTAAAAAATTTAGAAATAATCTATGAAAAGTCAAGTTCATATTTTGACGGCAATAATTTTTTTTTAAATATTTCTTAAATATAATAAAGAGTTTTAAAATTTTAAAAAAAATTAAGGGTATTAATTAATTTTCTTTTGGTTTAAAGATATTTTTAAAATAAAGTATTAATTATTTTGATGGAATATAAAGTATATGCTACTTTTATTAAGCTATTAATTTAATACCAAATATTTATCGAGATTACTGAAATTACCAAAAAGTACTTACATTCAACTGACATTTACGAATTTCTCTCCCTCCCTCGATCCTTTCAAACCGTTGTCTTGTTCTTTCTGCGCCTGAGTTGAAGCCCACCATTTCAGACTGTCCACCGAAAGCAACGCGCCGTCGTGCTTAACTTTCAGAGGCGTTTCCCTTACGCTTCGCTTTCTCTTCCACTCAGCTTCCTCAGCTCTCACCGATTCTTCTGACCTATTGAAACCATGAGCAGATTCAGCAGATTCGAGCTGATTGACCGCTACTACTCTCACTGTCCTTCTCTTCTACTCACCGAGGCTGAGACCTCCATTGTCCTCCCCAAACCTCTCGCATTCCCCTTCCATTCCTTTGTTGAAGAAGTGGATGACTTCGATTTCGCCTTCGACTTGTTGAGCCATCGGCGTGTTCGACCTTCCGCGTTTGATGTCTTCGATTCCTTCGCCGATCTGGTTCGGATCGATGAGGCGCCGTTGGTTTCGTCTTACCGGCGGATTCGGAGAGTTGAGAAATCGAGAGATGAGGTTTTGTTGCAGAAGTTGAGCGATCGAGTTAGTGAGCTCGAGGCGCGGTTTGATCGGTTGAGTAGAGCGAGGGTTAGTGGTTATGGTGATCGGAAGTACTCGTTTACGAAGGAAATTAAAGGAGTGGAGAAGAATAGCGTCGATCGGAAGTATAAGCTGGTAGCTGAGATCAAAGATGGGAAGAAGATCAAGGAGGGCAACAATGGTGGAGTTTTGCAGAACTACAAGTGGAGTGCTGAGATTAAAGGGAAGAACGAGAGAGATCCAATCAGGAAATACACTGTGGAGGTTTCAACTGGAAATGGAAACGAGAGTACAGAAAAGAAGGATGAGAAGAAAAAGAAGGGGAAGAAAGTCGGGAATGAGACGCGTGTGGTTGAGATTGACGACACTGAAGATCAAGGAGCTGTTGTCTTAAGACAGGTATCGACATTAATTGATAAGTTTTTCATAATAGTTCCAAAATCTGGTGGTATTCGTAGAATTTTATCGTTGTTTCTCTTTCTTGTTTGTTTTTCTGCCTTGGAAATTGGTAATTCTTATATGAACAAGATTGATGAATTGCTTGAGCTTGGATTGCCTTTTCAATGGACGCTTAAAACTAATGAAGGGATTCGTTTCCTGTAAAATCATATTGCAAGGAGCAAATACTCGATCAATTTGAAGAGATATAGATCTGTTTCTGTAGGTTGAATTCAAAAGCTTTACTGAAAGGAACATCCTTTTTTTTGGCCAGTTACTTCAAGTATATAATAGAGAAGAAAAGGTGGGAAGTTTTTGTGCCTTGAAAACGTGGTAGAGGATGGAGTTTGTTAGCCTCTTCCAGACCCCACTTATTATTGATTAGGTAAATAGTTTCTGATTGTACCCGATCCTTTCTTATCTGGCTATTTGAAAACTCTCTTGAAATGCCCCAGCTAACGATCGTATCTGGCTATTTGAAAACTCTCTTGAAATGCCCCAGCTAACTACTCGCTTAAGTGTCGAATGGTTTTTTGAGTGCATTTAATCAATCGATCCTTGGATTACGTGTGTAGGATGACTCCCCTCTGGTGAAGTGAAGGGATCATTTTCAAAAGCCGAAAGCAAAATTCCAGTCAAAGAAAACGGACAAGCCAAAGGGCCGGAAAAAGCGAAAAAAAAAAAAAAAAAAAGTCTTTAATATGCAACTTTCTAAATATTTAATGAACTCAGCTCCATGTTTAGTTTTCTAAGCTTGCAGTTTCAACTTAGTCGATCATTAAAAATGTTGCAGCTAAGTGCATATACTTATAAAGGGTATTTCTCCTAAGGTTTTTAAAACGCATATGCTAGAGAGAGGCTTCCACACCCTTATAAAGGGTGTTTCTTCTCTTCCCCAACCGATGTGGAATCTCACAATCCACCCTCCCTATGGGGCCAGAGTCCTCGCTAGCACTTGTTCCCTTCTCCAATCAATGTGGGACCTCCCCAATCCACCCTCCTTAGAGACCCAGCGTCCTTGCTGGCACACCGCCTCGTGTCCAATCCCCTTCGGGGCTCAGCCTCCTCGCTGGCACATCGCCCAGTATCTGGCTCTGATACTATTTGTAACAGCTCAAGCCCACCATTAGCAGATATTGTCCTCTTTGGGCTTTCCCAAGGAGAGGTTTCCACACCCTTATAAAGGGTGTTCCATTCTACTCGCCAACCGTCCTGTCTCATTTAGTTTTTCAATTCAGAATTCTATTGTCAAGTTTTACTGTTACAGGAAATATATAGGGAACTTATGAAATGTATTTTTGTGGTGCAAGGCATTTGCGAAGAGAACTAGAGTTGTGGAGAATAAGAAGGGTAAGAAGAAGGAGTTGTCTCCTCAAGAAGCAGCTCTTATCATTCAGTTAAGTTTCAGAGAATACTTAATTCACAGGTCAAAGGTTCTCCGTGCTCTTAGAGATCTGTCAATTGCCAAGACAAAGTTGAAGGAGATCAGAGAATCCTTCAATAACTTTGCTTACTGTCAGCGGCTAGCTCGGGATGCAGAGGAGCGCCAGAGGTTCACTGAAAAAATAATTGTGTTGCTCCTCACTGTCGATGCTATTGAGGTGAATATCTCTCTCTTCTTTCTACTAGTAAATTAGCACGTGAAGTATATGTTTGTTAATATATTATATTATAACTATATTAATCTTAATTCCTTTTCAAATGTTGACTTTTGTTCTACAAAATGATATATATTTTTAACGTGTAAGACGTTTCATTATCCTGTTATTACAATGATCACAATTGTTGGTGTTAGTGGGTATAATCCTACATTAAAGAATAATCATGTATTTCTCAGCATGTAGGAGTACCCTCATTTCTTTTTATAGACCTTGTATACTATTATTTGATTTCTCTTCGTGTTTTGTTATTTAGAACAACGTTTTTTATTCAAAGAGTAATGCGCCTTTTAAGATCCCTGTAGTCTTGTTCTTTGCTTTAGATTTCAATAGTCCTAAATTAATTGTTTTCTTGACAGTTTGACTTGATCGTAATCTCTCACTTGAGTATTAACCAGCATATTATCTTCCTTCTTTCCTTGAAAGAAACTACATCGCTTACTTCATGTAGAGTATTTCTTTGGTTCATCTGTCTATTTCTTTGTTTCATCTGTCTGTTTTAGTTTCATGTTCTTTGATTTGTTCTTTCAAATGTTTTGACCGATGTTGCTCAACTTGTTATATACCCTGTTTCCTTGTTGTATCATATGGATTTCTTACTATTCATACTTTTAAGTTAGATTCCTTCCTGCAGCATCAATTGTTTTTTAAGGTAAAAATACTTGTATCGTTTATGTGTTTCTTATTTTGTTTCGATCTAACAAAGGATCGAAAATGAAATGTTCAAACAAGCAAAGGTTTGCTCTCTCCCCTCTCCTCTTTCTATTCTCCGAACCTAGTGTTCATCCATTCTTAGCCTTCATCCATCTTAGGGTTCATCCATTTTAGCCTTCTTATGAATGAAAATTCTAGTTTTATTTGAGGCTCTTGTAGAGTATAAGGCTTTTTAGAAGCTGTAGTGTCTGAAAGGATTTCTTTTTCATCAATCCTTTTGGCTTGGATCTTTTCAAGATTGAAAAAAAAAAAAAAAAAAAAAAGGTTCTAGCCTTTTCTCCATTGTTGTTTATCACAAGCAACTTCTTGGTTTGAGGAAGTTTAGTTGACGTTATGCAGTATCCATTAACATCTCACTTCTTTAGACATGCTGAGTGAGTTTGAGATCTTTCGGTTAAGTAAGAAGATGAATCGTTTTTGTTGGATTCTCACCTTATTCTCTTTCAACTCAACGTCATTAGATCAAAAAATAAAAGATTTTGAAGTTTGGATTAGAAAGAAAGGAAAAAGAAGTAGTCTTTACAAATTTTAGTGATTGATTTTTGGATTCCCAACAGTTTGCTCATTATAAATGGAAGGATGTTAAGGAAACATTAGAAAAGTATCTTCACGGTTTGGTGGTCATCGGTCCTTTTATGAGCTATAAGGCATTGTTGTAAGTAGAAGAGCGGTAACACAAAAGTTTTGCAATGAAAAATGGATAACTTTTGAAACTTGCATTTGAAAATTGAAAAGTGGTCATGAGATGAGCACTCTCATCTAGAGTTTATCGAAGGTTATGGAGGATGAGTTTCAGTCACAAACTTTTTCTTTTCCTTTTTTCTCTCCTTTTCGAGTTTATACCCTTTGAGTAATGGTCTCTCTTTTTCATCTTTGTTCTTGAAAAAGATGCTCATTTCCTAATTGATTAGGAGCTTAAAACTATTTTAATTTATTTTATATTTAAACTAAATAAAAAGAGTTTTCATCAAATTCAAGAAATTGAGGCATTAGGCTTCCCAGGAGAAGTTCACAGTTTGGTTTGGGTCGGTTTGATATTTGACTTCCGAAGAAAACCTGCTTCGTAAAATCGATCCAAATGATTTTAAAACTGTTTGCATTCTGTTTCATTTACGGCTTCTCTGGTCTGGTTGTCAAATAGTTGTTTTATGGTGAAGGGAGGTGCTCTTCCTTCCTCCACGTCGTGATACTGGTTGTTGTAACAGCTCACCGCTAGCAGATATTGTCTTCTTTGGGCTTGTCTTTAAGGTTTTTAAAACGCGTCTGCTAGGGATAGGTTTCTACACCCTTATAAAGAATATTTCGTTCTCCTCTCCAACTGATGTGGGATCTTACCGTTGTCGTTTGGCTCTCTGCTTTATTTGCTATTTTGCAATTTAATTGACTTGAGAGAAGTAAGAGATTTTTAATGATATTGAGAAGTCCTGGGGAGAGGTTTGGTCTTCTGTTAAATTTGTTGCTTCCTTTTGGGCATCTATTTCTAAAGAATTTGTAACCATCTTTAGTTTTTGTTTTATTTGGATTGAAGTCGCTGCTTATATTTTATTACCATTATATACATATATATATATATATATCTTGTAGCTAGCTTAGTTTCTAGGCTCTTGTTTTAATTACAAGTTCCAGTTGCGTCATTCTAGGAGTCGGTCATATGTTTCTTCAAGCACAATCTAAAACTTTTCTTGTCAAACATGAAAGCTTATATACTTATTCAGTTGATTGCGAGATAAATAAACAATGACCTGAGACATACAAATGTAAGGGATTGATACATTGCATTTCTTTTGTAGGGAGTTGATCTGATGGTGCGAACTTCAAAGAGGTCAATGGTAATCGAGCTAGAAGCCATGCTTGAGGTGGTCGATCCCCAACCTGTTAAAAGATCGATTTCCTTTCGGAGAAGAACGTTCGATATGCCTAGTGGAAGCATCAATAAGGAAATTGCAGCTGGTGTAGCCCAGGTAGTCGAGTTGATCGATCAAGCAGAGAACAGTGTCAATGCTCATGAGGCCTCTGAATAAAGAGACGTGGTTTCTCATACTACTGCCTCTTTCGAGTTTCGAGTAACGGTTCCTGTTGAAGATGGAGCGGCGGCCTTACACCTTCGGTATGTTTTACAGAGCTGAGCTTTTGATTATGCAGTAACAACGTTCATGTAGAAGATGAAGTGTTTATGCTTGTGTTATGTCCAAACTATATTTTTACCTAATCTTTGCTATTTGGATTGATATCTATCTATGTCATATGAAACCTTTGGACTGCTGTGTTTTACTGCAATTTCTTTCCCATTTTCTTCTATTTCAACTTCCATGGCATCTTGATCATGACTGCAGCAATGGAGAATAGCTATTTAAGTTGCTCAAAAGATGGCACATAGCCAACTTGGAGAAGTTCGTGAAGGACTTGATCACGAACATAGAACATCCATTTCGACATATTTTTTTTCGAGAATGAAACCCGAGATGACCAATTTGGACACTGATATCATCATACCAAAGTATAAGGGTTGCAATAGGCCTAAACTCAATTTCACGAAAGAGTTTATGTAACCAGATATTTCAGCCGTTCATGAATATAATATAGATTTGAGTCGAACATTATGAATAAAATGAGACTTAGCGACTATAGGTTAGTAGAAATCTAGGGTTGTTACAGTATGTATGTATGTTGTTCGAACTCGAGTTCGCTATAGATTGAGGCTTAAAATATAGATTGGTTGTAATATGAAAACCCTAACCAAGCGGATATGAGAACTCGACGTGATATGCAAACCCCTAGATCACAAATCTTAAAACTCCAAAATCAAGATAATTTCATCCTAAATTATTACAACTCTTGGAAATTCGATCTAAGAATCTTATCGAATAATAAGACTTCTTGATTTAAAATATCCAAGAACCTCAAAACGCTAAGAAACCCTCCAATGAATTATCTTGTTGATCAAATATCTAACGTAAAAAAATAAATAAATAAATAAATAAATAATAATAATAATTTGAGATTTGAATCAGTGCACAAGTAAGATTGATCATATTAAATTCGAATAATTCCAAGTTTTGCTCTTTTTACTGCATTTTCATAAAGTTTATTTTATAAATACGATCGAATTATTAAATTTTTATGAAAAAAAATTTTATTGGTATTTAATTTATGGAATTAGTCATCCATACCAAAGTATTGATAAAAATTAAATAATTAATAATCAAATAATAATTACAAGTATTTGTAAAATGAGTATTATTATCATTAAATTAATTAATTATAAATTTTATATAATAATTTTTTAAAATAAAAATATCACTATCATTATATGAAAACCAATTAACATCACCACCCACTAGAATTTAGGACCACCAATAAATAACAAAATTACTAATTTGTCCAACAAAACGATAAATTTACACATAACTCCTCCTGAGTGCCGTACAAATTTCTAACTTTTGGTGTCCACTTTGGTAATTTCAATCATATTCTCCCTCACAGTCACAGACTGTGTCACAGCCACAACTCAGCCCTTTTCACCTTAGAAAGACTCTCCAAGACACCCAGCGGTGAAATATGTCCCATCACAGTCACTCTCTTGGCCTCTAGATCTATGCTGAATGACGTCACTCCTGTCAATTACAATTTTAGTAAATAATAATAATAATAATAATAATAAATGTCATTTTCTTCCTTAAATTTCCTTTTTTAGCCCTTTTATCACTATTTTTTATCCTTTAAATATTGGTTTATTTCTTTTCAATTTTTTACTATAATTTTAATTTTTTAATCAAATTCCAAATCACAAAAATAAATTTTAAAAAGATTTCTTTTTAGTATTTAAATTGTTTCTTAATTTTCAAAATATTGGTCATTATAAATAATACAAATATATATATATATATATATATGTATATGTATGCATACATACATACATATAATACATACATACATATATACATACATACATACATATATATGCATGCATACACACACATATATATACATACATATATATATATACACATACATATACACACATACATATATATATATACACACATACACACATACACACATACATATATATGTATGTGTGTATGCATATATATATATATATATATATATATATCTATATATATATAGTTTATAAATATGATTTTCTACCTTCCATTTTGGTGAGATGCCTCTTAACTTTACTAGCACAGCCTTGGCAGTGAAGCGCCACCTTCATAACCACCACATGGAAGACATTCTCCGGTGGGGGCGGTGGCGAGGAAAGCATAAGTGTCACCGGCTTCTTCACGTCGTTCGTCGTTCCCGCGCTCGGAGACTTGCGAAGCTTGGAGTACTTCACAGCATTGCTCACCAACCTCACACGGTTGCCATTGGCATTGGCATTCTTAAGGCTGTTGGCTCTAGCCAGGCTTCTTCTTGACACGACTGCGGACCGAGGATCGGCGGGGATGCATACTGCGGTGGCGGCCGGAGATTGGCACATGAATCCTCCTAGTTTCTTCATGGTTAATGGTGGAGTTTGAAGAATGAGGGTAGAGGCAGTTTTATCATATGAATTTGTTGAAGATGTCTCTTTCAGAGGTTAATGGCGATCATAGAGAGAGTGGCAGAAATGGCACATTGCTCTCTAGTGCTTTCTTTTTTCTTGGGTTTGGATGGTGATTGGTTGGACCACACACGTATAAAATTAGAGGGCGTTTTTCGGTTCAAATTGAAGCAAGGATTAACATTTCTCGAGGGTTAGCGACCTTTCGTCTCAAGTCTAGGTAGAAAGTTTACAACAATGTTAGAACAGTCGAGTTGTTTGGCATGCTGCTTGGAGATATTGTGATATCCCAGATCGATTGTGGATGAAAACGAAACACCCTTTATAAGAGTGTGGAAACCTCTCCATAACAGAAGAGAGAAAACCCGAAAAGAAAAGTCCAAAGAGGACAATATCTATTAGCGGTGGGATTAGGTCGTTACAGAGATGGAGTGGAGTGGCATATTGGGCTACATATATCCACGAGAGAAGCGGACCTCTCCCGACTTTTATAGCCTTATCTTAATTTAGTCATGTCAATAGTATATTCAGTATCGAACAAAAAAGTTGTAGGTCTCGAAAGTGACATTCAAAGCGTAGTCGTAGTGAAGATCCGAGCTAAATTGGACAGACAATGTGCTCGAGAGAAAAGACATGTTTAAGGAATTGGAGAACAGTTGGAATGTCACAATTAGAGCTGTCCACGTCACTAATTCTTTATCAATTTTCCATTTTATACTAGGTCAACCCTAGACTCAATTAAACACGGCATTCCATTTTTTACTTTTATTTTTTTTTATTTTAAATAAATCTCTAAAATTTAAAAAATTAATTTTAAAATAATTGTCCGTGAAAATATTAGCCGACAATAAACCGGGATTTCATTATGCAATACTTTTACTCGAACGGCCAAAACATACATGGCCAATCAAAATCAAAGAATCGAGAAAAATCTCCAAACAGACCAAATGTAACGTGTTAGAATTGTAGAAAAAAATAACGTTTTCAAACAGACGGTACAAATTCATCAGAAGATACCGAGAATATTCTAGTAGATAGCCCACTGAATCTATGATTTTGGATTCAAGGGCATCTTTTTATTCGTCATGGACAAACTATTTTAAAATTTTAAATTTGAAAATATCTTAAAGGTGTATTTTGTCGAGGAAAAGAAGATGTCTCTTTGTTCGGGAACGGTTTCGAAATTTTAAATTTAAAATGGAAGGTGTATCTAATCCTTTGAGATTAAAGGATAACGATATGTCTCGAGATTGAAAGAAGTTTGTGGAATACTGTGAAGAGTGCTATGATGGTAACACGTGACACAAAATCTGAAACTTTATACTCTACTACAGTGTGTATGAACATAGCTATTGTTGTTGAGAGTGTGTAACAGCTTAAGCCCACAGCTAGCCAATATTGTCTACTTTGGTCCGTATATGACAGCCATATACGGTCTGTGCCCCCAGAGCCCAAAGGAGTACCGGGAGGATCGACTGATTGCTCTATTTCCCGTTCAAGTCTATGATATAATAGACTTGGACATATGAGTGTCAAAATAATGAAGATACTCCGCTGCGAAAGAAGTTTTAGAAGACCTGTTAGAGAATCGAAGAAAGTACGATTGGAAATAATCCAGACAAATGTACGGGGACCATCTTCAATTCTATCCCTCGGTCGATCGAAGCTCTATGCCAGCTTCATCGATGATTTCAGCTTCTTTTAATTAAAAATCACGTTTTAATTGCTACGTTATCCTTATTTTATTCATCTTCTAGAAACAAATTATGTAATATTTAAAGTATGGAGACGTGTTTTACTTTCACATGGTTTTTTAATATTTAAAATAAATTAAGTAATTATTTATTGAAATTATCTATTTTCTATATAAATAAAAAGAAAATTACGAAACAAAGGAAGGAAAGGATGAAATACTAATTTCAAATTAAAAAAAATGAATAAATTAATTTTAAAATTAATTTAATTTTTTTTTTAAAAAAAATTATAAATAAAATTAGAAGTGTGGTAGGCTGAACTAGATTGGGATGAGACATTTTTTAGACATAAACTTGGTTGATGATCGAGTCTAGCTAAACAATTTTTATTAAATAATGAACCTAACCGTAAACTTTTTTAGTTAGTGTTTGCCAACTTCTTGGGTTGCGGGCGGAGAAGAGCGGACATGGGGACTCGGGTCAAGGCGTAGCGTAACTAAGAGAGCCATTCCATTTAGGGGGAGCCCGTGTGGTTATGGGGGCGGGCACGAGTGGTCTGGTGTCCGAGCCAATTGGTCAGACGACGACGGCGACTGAACTTATTAGATTAGTATTAGCCGCCTATCCCAAAAGAAAATGGGATATTAGAAAGAGCAGGAAGTGCGAGAGCTATAGGATTGGTTTTCCCCGATCGGTAGCTGCTTGGTTTCCCCAACTCTCCTAAACTTTTCCCGGTCTTCGGCCTGAGTTGTATGAGGCAGAAACTCGTCTCACGTACGGTTCGAAGGCCGAGCCCCATCCCAACAGTAATGGTACGACTTAGGTCAACTAACACAAAGAAGATACAGTTCACTCAATGATTGTCTTTGAGTTCCAAACTCCATATGGGGAAGGAGAGTTGTTGTTTGCGAGATATCGACCATTTACATGGACCTACTTCTCATTCCATTTGTGGTAATTTGCTGGTCTATAAACCGTCCCTAACAAACGATCGGCTCGTCTTTGAGCATGATAAAGAACTTCGTGCCGACCAGTTGCCAATAAACTTTTCGGGTTATTCTAGTCATTTATTCCATTTTTTTAAAATTAACAAAATACTAACAATAAACGTGTTTTTTTGGTTATTTTCTATAAACAGTATGAAAATTTAGAGATATTTTTATTAATTTAGCGTTTAAAAAATTACTTTTAAAATAATTAAAATTAATAATAATAATAATAAAAATGTATACTTTAAAATTTATAATAAATAGAAATTGTAATTTAGTTTATAAGTTTTTATTTATTTAAGCTAAGAGTTTATAGAATTTTTCAATTTATATAATATATTATTGAGTAACGTCTTGAATAAGCCACGTCTAAAGGTGACGTCATATTGAAAACGTGAGGCGACGAGGCGAAGATATCGGGCTTTGGTGGGATGCTCTTCGCTCAACGGCTCAGATTCTTCTCAACTATGGAGCGCGTTGCAGCTGATCCGCCTATGGTTGGTGATGATCTCGGCTGTTCACACACACATCCGCCTCACTTCACAGACGGTGAAAGAGAGAGCATCGGATTTTATCACAATCCAATTTTGACCCCCACTTCTTCTTCGTCTTCCAATTCATTCTTGGTAATTGATTTTCGTTTTTCTTTTCCCTTTTTCTGTTCTTTTGATTTTCCTTTTCTTTTCCTTGTTTGAATGAGATCGATCGATGCGGCAGATTTTGGGATACTGTTCGATTTTTTGAATTCAGGGGTTTCTCGTCTTTTATTATGGGATTTTGATCAATTTTTGGGATTTGGGGGCTTTTCTTAGGTTCCTTTGATTGTTTTTGGCTTTCAATTTCATAGCTAATAGCTGAATTGAGTTTGTGACCATGTAGGTTAGGGTGGAAATTTCCTGTTTTCTTGATTTCCTCCGTGTTTTATTTATTTGTCTCTAAATACATTTTCCAATTTTGTTTGTGGTTTTTTCTCGTGTGAATTTATGTCATTTTATTCCATATAAGCATGCGATCAGTACAAATGAATGTGAGTAATTATCAAAACAATTTGTGGATTATGCCCATTCTAGTTTGGTTATTCATTTTTATCATGGAGGTTTGTAGCTCTTGCATTGATAAGAAATATTACTGCATTTGGTGCAAGAATGAGCGAGTTTGTGTGGAAGATATGTAATTTTAGTCAGCCATTCCTCTCTGTTTATTTCATTTTTGATGGTCTGGGAAATCTTTGGTTGAGTTGTTGAAATCTTCTGAATCTCTGTTCTTCTCCAAGCGAGATAGAGGTGATTTTGGAACTACTAGAATTCATAAGCATAGGATTTCCTCTTCATTGTATTGTGTGGCCAATATTTGGTGGAAGGAAGTTGATTAGTGTCACTGTGGGTTTCTCAAGAGAGGATGCTTTACTTTCTGGATAATAAACCGAACTTTCATAAAAAAAATGAATGAATCCAATTCAAATACAATAAGACCTTAAAAGTAATTATAAAAAGCCTTCACGCTCGTGGTCGAAGAGAAAACAAGATACCAAACATGGTTAGGGTCTCTCTCCATCCCTCTTGTCTTATTATTCCTCTCACCTTACTACCCCCACAACACAACCCAAATTCCTGTGTGTCACAAAATTTTTTTACTTCTCTCGAAAAAGTAGATGGAGAAGGAACTTGATCATCTCTCTATAGCTTCTGTTCCTAGCAAACTGAAAGCCAAACACGTCAAAAAAGAAACTTCAGATAGTTCGAGTAAAGTCGCAGTTCCAAGGAATATGATCATGATCTTCCTTTCTCTTCCAACAAAGAATGCATTTAATTTGTCTATTAGAGAACACATCTTTCTCAAAAGCCTATCTAAAGTGTTAACTCTTCCATGGATGACCTGGCAAACAAAGAATTGAACGTTCTTTGAAATTCTCACCTTCTATAGAGATGAAAAAAACAGACTTATTAGATGTGGAGGGAAACAACAAGTGTGGAAAGAACGAACTACAATGAAAAACCCTTGGTGGGGTCCAAGAGTAGATACCCTTTCTCCTTGACCTAAGCTCAAACTCCTCATTCAAAGATAAGATAGCCAAGACGTCCATTTTTTCCCTATTGGATATTGGACGAAGCCAATTGAAAGAGAGAGAGAGAGCCCCATTTGAATCAAGAACGTCAACCCCGGGCAATTTTTTTATAGAGGACAAAGGATTTAAATGGTGAAACTTAGAGCAGAGGGGTTTATCCCCCACCCATTTATCCTCTCAAAAGTAGATTTCCATCGCATCT